TTTTAACTGTAATGAAATGGTGCCTTACAGAATGTCTACTGTATTATTGCCCCTTTCCTCATTGGTAATCACTGGCCTGTTGTGGACCGAGGGCAGTGGTCCAGGTCAGGTAGACAACTTAAGCCTGGTTTATGGTCAACGCACACCAAATGCAACGTCACCACAGCCCCGTCATTGTTTATATTGGCACCTGGAGCAAACCAGCTCAGTTCGGACTTCTCCTGAATGATAGGTTTTCTCCTGAATTCAGCACGGGGTGATCGTGGCTCAAGAGTTGGCAGTTCATCTTGTAATCGGAAGGTTGCCGGTTCGAGCCCTGGCTCCGGCAGTCTCGGTCGTTGTGTCCTTGGGCAAGACACTTCACCCGTTGCCTACTGGTGGTGGTCAGAGGGCCCGGTGGCGCCAGTGTCCAGCAGCCTCACCTCTGTCAGTGTGCCCCAGGGCAGCTGTGGCTACAATGTAGCTTGCCATCACCAGTGTGTGAATGGGTGGATGACTGAATGTAGTGTGAAGCACTGTGGGATCCTTAGGGACGAAGTAAAGTGCTATACTATACAAATACAGGCCATTTACCATTTTAAAAAAATCTTGGCATTAGTGCTGGCATAAGAGTAGAAAAGTCAAAAGAAGAAGACATGAAAAGCAAGTTGGTTTGGTTTGGTTTTTTTCCTCCAAAACGTATAATCTCTTCATCTGTATATTCCGGTAATCTTAGCTTCTGTTCTGATATTTACTTAAATGGTAGTTAAAAACCAACATGATCATAGATTTGTGTGTCAGGTCGAAAAGGGAATCGAAAAGGGAAACGACAAGCCCAAACTACACCACAGCATGGCGCATGCCAATAGTTGTGACGTCAGTTTTGAAGGTATGTTGTGACATACACATCAACACACCTGACTCTCCTCAGATCAAATACCAAACATGCCCTTCTAATTACGGTTTAACCTTTGGAGTACATCATCACTCCCCAATGAACAAGTGTAACATATTTAGATGCTAAACGCCAATTATATTCTTGTGCTGCAATAATACATTTCAAATGTGAGCTGTCTGACTGAAATGTTGCTAGGCTAGATTTTTTTTAGACCTTAAGCCTGCTATTAACTATGCTACTTAGTAGCACTGCAACCACAGAAACAGGTAAGTTTCGCCATCAATTACACAAAATGCGTGAAACAACTTGACTTGCTACTTTTTCTCCTTCATAAATAAAGAAAATAACTTTAAAACTGACAGATTTTCTGAAGTATTACATTACAGTGACACTGAGAAATACAACACATTTATTATACCCTCTGACATGCAGAAAACACTGTGGTCCTTTCTCCTACCTTGCTGTCTAGTTTCTTCATGGTGACCAGATCAAGGGATTTGAGTGAATGGCCTGAGGGGGAAATGAAGTAAAGGCAGGCATGGACTCGTGAGTCATGGTAGTTGTGAAGAGAACGCTTGATTTTTAGCTCCTCCTGGAGATAACTCTCAAATTGCCTGTCAATGTAGTCCACCACAGGCTGGTAGCTAAAAGACATACATAAAGTGATCATCAGTAACTGGCAAGTTCACAACGACAGTAAAATCACTTCACGGCAGTCACAATCCTCCAACATTAATAACCTACTCAGCTCTTCCTCGTACCTCTCTTGTTTATTCATCTGGTCTCCAAAGCCAACTGTGTTGACCACAGTGAGACGTAGTCTGACGTTACTCTCCTGCAGGTCATACGTTTGAGCCCGGAGCTTCACCTGAGGTTCAAAGTGGGATGACTCAAAGTTCTCAAAGTTGGTATTAAATAGCGTGTCCATCAGTGTAGACTTGCCTATACCCGTCTCACCTAGGGGCACAAAAGAGAAGTATGATGCAATCTTTGGTAACTAAACTTGAAACAGAAACTTTTTAGCACAATGAATTCAAGTGTGCAGGAGCTTTAACAGCAGGCATACCTGACTAAGAACTGCAAACTGACATCATTAACTGAATGTTTGTATGCAAAATAAAATTTAGCAATGCATTTCTATTACTATTTAATGACAGACAATCTACCTACATTTTATAAAGGCAATAAAACTTTCTGAGAGAGTCTATGTTCGGTTATTCCTGTCAATTTGTTCAACAAAAGTGTCCATTACTCCTGCCTTAATGGCATAACAAATAATAAAAATGTCTTAATTTTATCCTAAATACCAAAATAAATAAATAAAAAAAAAAATTAGCTCATCATCAACGGCAAAAAGAAACTCTGCATAATGTATGCAGAGTTTCATCTATGTATGTATGTGTGAGCGACACAGTACCGATGCAGAGAATATTAAAGCAGAAGCCCTGGCAGATGGACTTGTTGACAAGCTGGTCAGGAAGGCTGTCAAAGCCCACATGGCCAGCAAGAGACAAGGACCGGACTCCTTTATCCTGTGGAATAAATTTGACAGAAAAAGCTGGGTTGTAACATTATGATGCTTTTTTTCCTCTCTTATTTCACAAAATATTGCACTTACAAACAAACAGAATCACATATTGCACCGAGTAGTCTAGTCCAGCCAAGATTTTTGTCTTTATTCTTTGCCTCATCAGATAAATCTGTTTTTTAAAGCCTGTGTGTGGGCCAAAGAGGCACAAAACCGGTTAGAAGACGTTAAATAGGACAATAAGATAAATCCACCTAACTTCCAAAAGCCTGAGATAACTTTAAATATCACCGTCGTTCACTTTGTCAGACCTTCTCCAGTCTAAATTAATGAAACATCCCGAGTGTAGGTGGTCAGCAGCACTGATTTAGATATGCTATGATTAAGAACCTTTAATAACTCTGTGGGCGGTGTTGTGCTTTATTTCTGAATCCTTGTCATTTCTGGAGGTCGAAAACGCCAACTTTCATTCAGATTTGTGAGGGCTAATAATCAATGATATTTGTGTCACAAAGCTCCCGCAACGTACAAATACTTGCGGCAGGCACGAATTGCACACATATTTTCAAAAGCTTATCACGGAGCTAACGTTAACGATTCTATGAAACTAATGTAGCACTGCTAGTGTAGCCTTAGCCACCTAGCGCCCTCTCAGCCGTTTACCGTAGTGAAAGGCATAACCAGGGATCTTTTTAAACAAAGGTTCAGTGCTTGTGTTGATAGCACACGATAAATATGTTGTCGAGTTTTAAACTTTGACCTGTTTAAACATGAATGTTTTCCATAAGTGTAATAACTGAAAGTTTTCAGGCTAGGAGCTAACTTAACGATAGCCTCGGACACTCCCTGCTCAACTGTCTAGAAAGAAGTTAACTGTCGACAACACAGAGTAAAAAATAAATAAAAAATACTAACCGGCTGCCGTGCAACATCCGAAGAAGCCATAACTTAAGATGGGTCGTAAACAGATTCAGAAATAACTTTAAAAAATAAAATAAAAAATTAGAAAAGGATCGACTTCTTTCTCAAAGAATCTCTCTCAGTACCGCCCCACTGCTGTCGACAACTGGACAGACGAGACCATTAAAGACAATGTAGCAATGGGACGATTTCTAAATTTTCTTTATATCGACAGTCATGCAAGTTATGGCAAATTTTGTGGAGGCTCCAATATTTAAATGTTCTACAGCATGTAATTTACAAAAATAAAAGATAAGATAATGCTGAAAAGCAAGAAAAACATAATACAGTAATAAAATCGCCCCCCTTTTCTAATAATGGTACAGCGCAATTTAATTTTCCCAGTGCTTACTTTGAGGACTGTTTGCACCGACAAAACATTAAAGAGTATGAAATCAGATTTTTTTGAGGTGTGATCATTATAATAAAATAATGAAATGAAAAATCATTATATATATTATATTAATTTAAAACTGTTCCATATATGATCTGCTGTGTATAGCTATGGGGAAATGCATGTAAGACCAACTAACTAATCCGGTTTATATGCTACAGAAGAAAGCTAAAGCAATTATAAATAGATTAAAGATTATCAGATTATTATGATCAAGGCATTAGAATATCCATTAAATTGCATGCCTTAAAATTCTACTGTTTCACAGACATACTGTTTCATTGAGCTTCGGACTCCACCGATATTGTACAAAGCACAAAAAAATCTCCTTCTAAACTGTATTTGGAGGTTTTAAATTAGAGGGAAAGCATGTTAACTAAGAATAAAAAATATATTTTAAAAGCAAGGGCCAGGACAATTTAAAAACAAATACAGGGTGTATCTGTTATATGGGTAAATGTGAGTAACTGTAATGAGGAATTAAGATTGTTCTGTTCACTATGTCATTTTAAAAACAGTCTAAAAATCAGATCGTAAACAAATATAAAAATGTGGAACAGAATGATTTCCATTGTTTAAAAGAAACATTTGTTTTTGTCCTGTTTCTGTTTCTATTCTTTATATTGTATTATCTTTTGTGTTTGTTTGGTTGAAATCTTAATATAACAAATAAGTACAGGTTTAATAAGCTTAAGGTTCAATTTGCACCTTTTAGGTCAATAATTTGTGCTCTTCCCCTTGAATTTACTTCCTGACCGTTAAGGTGTATTTGTTTACTCAAATAACCTCTTGTTTTTGTTGTTTTGTAAAATTTTAATAAGGACTGAAAGATCAAGTTCTGCGGTGGATTACTTTTATTACTTTTCTTTGTGAGGTAAATGTTTTAGGATCAGAATCCTCTTAATCTGGCCAAGATTTTGCAAAAATACAAGGAGATTGAGTCCGGTTTCCTCACTGCATGCATAAAGAAACTCCAACTGGGCATGAAAGATAGCCGTAAATAGGATGAACATAATGCAATCTGGATGAACCTTGGATATTATTTTGAAAAGTTCAAATTGTGCAGTGTAATTATTATTAATACTGTGTGTGTGTTGACCGGGAAAAAATGTGTATTTTATTATATATTATGTATACGCAGTATTTATGGTCACTTTTAAATAACTAGTCGTCTGGGAAGCCCGCGTTTCCGATGAGCACTGGAACGCGACATGATTCTTGCCCCTTGCCTGTGAGACGATGTGAGCGCCCCCTGTCTGACAGAGCTAAACACTGGTCTTCCCATGGAGGAGAGGAGGAGGCCAGAGAAGAAGATGCTGTCATCCTCTCCTTAAGCGAATGAGCGCGTTAATGGGCTCATTTTTAAACCTTCTTGCGCAAATAACCCAGTGATCTTTGCGCTCTGTTTGAGTCGTTCAGGACGAGGACGATGATGATGATGGCGTCCCGCTGCACAGTGCAAGCCGTGCAGGAGTTCCTGTCGGAGAGAGGAGGGAGGGTCCAACAGATGGAGCTGATCGATCATTTCCTATCGCTGAATGAACAGTCGAAGGAAGGGGTGGATCGCGAGGTGCTGAAAAGCATTGTTGACAGCGTGGGTTTCGTGAAGGTAGAAAACGGCGTGAAATTTGTGTGTTTGAACAGTGAAGGCAGCGGGGCGTCGGTGATGCGTACGGACGTAGATGGCCACGACGGTGCGGAGTGCAATGGCAACATCCAAGAGACGCTGGACAACAACTGTGTCAACGGCAATCATGATAAGGGCGACCAAACAGGTGAGGACGACGGATCCATTGTGTTTGCGTGATTTTTACGCACGTGTTTTATCCATGAATTGCTTTCTTGCGTGTAACGTAGGCTGTTTTATCTATATTTTTGTATATGTACTGTCTACTTGTTTATTTGTCAAAACAACAAAACCAGTCGTTCAGTCTGTTGAGTAATACAACGCGAATAAATAAAAGGTTTGGCAATTATTTTGTTGTTTTTACAGGCCAATATAGGCATAGCCTACTGCTTTTTTTAATTTTTATTTCACCGTACAAAATAGTGTTTGATTCAATTTAATTTGGAATCATTTCCTGCCAAAAACACAAAATCCCTAAGGTTCAGGATACTAATGACACCAATGAGAAAAATAACAACAACAGCCTGTTAAATTCTGCAGCATGTGATCAAAAGTCTGCATGAAGTTGAATGAACACACAAAAAAAATTAATGGTCTTACAGGTGTCCACTTTCCACTGGACAATGACAAACAGACAAATGGCAATAAGAAACCTGCAACCCCATCCCAGAGCAAGACCAGCACAGGAGTTCCTATCCCTGGTGGAGGAGGTGAAGTGAAGCTGAGAGACAGAAGGAGACGAGAGTCAGCTCCAGTTCTTGGGATGCCAGATCTCGACCAGGCCCAACCTGGAGGATCCCATAACCAGCAGACAAGAGGGGCACGCAGGGTGTCTAGAGGTTCACAGCGGGCCATGCTGACCAGCTGCCTGTCTGAAGACAGTGCTCTGGAGGGACTGGACCATATAGGAGATATCCAAACACCCAAAGGAAGTCGCAGGAACTTCATAGAGCTGATGATGAGTAGTTCTCCTCAGGTAGGACACAGTGCTTTTTATTATCATTAAGTATTTGTTGCTTTTGCCCTTTTTCTTTTTCTTTGAATGGCAGCTTTCTGTAGAAAGTAACAGTGTGCTGGGAATTTCTAAATGACTACATTTTGTGCTGTGACACAAAAATCTTAACAAAAGCCACGGCTATTGTATGTTCTGTCAGGTGCGGAGATCTCTGATCAACCGTGGGTCACGCCTCCGGGACTCGGTTAAGAGCGAAGGTGACTCGGCGTCCCTCCTCTCCTCAGCCACTGACGAGGACTGCGCCTCGGTAACCCTGGACCCTCTAGAGCACGAGTGGATGTTGTGCGCCTCAGACGGCCTGTGGGACAGCCTTCAGCCCCTGCTTGCTGTCGAACCCAGCCTGGTGACCAAGAGAGACTTTGTGACTGGTTTTACCTGCCTCCACTGGGCAGCTAAGCAGGGCAAAGCTGAGCTGCTGTCTCAGCTGCTCACCTTTGCCAAAGAGAACACTATACCTGTGAATGTGAATGTGAGATCAAGTGCTGGTTACACACCGCTGCACCTGGCCGCCATGCATGGACACACCCAGGTGGGTTGCAGGGAGTAGTATCATGTGTTACACCTGCTCAGTGAAGCAGTACATAATTACCTACACTTTATCTGCCCAGGCTAGAAACATTAGCTCAAAACAAGTTAACTGAACTATGGTTGTAGACAGAAGTTTAAACACACTCATCCTGGGTGGTAATTTGGGTTTTTTAAGGATTTCTTTGAATCTTTTTTTCCAGGATGGAATGATTGTACATCATATATTGTTAATGACAAGAAGTTTGAGCTTATTTTAGATATTCTGCAATCGACATAGTGCCAAAAGTATACATAGGGGTTCAAACGTGCACTGTTATTTGGTTCAATATTCCTTAGCAAGTTGCACCTCAACCACATGTTTTTAGTAGCCATATGGATATTTGACCACTCTCCTGTGCAGAGTTGATTCATTTAGAACCTATTACAGGTCAGTGCTCCTACGAGAAGCTTAATGTTAGCCTTCTTTATCCTTTCTAGTTTTTGTTTTTGTTTTTTTTTTTTGGAAAGGAAAGCGTCTGGATTTCTTTATGTTCAAGCAATGTAAAGAAGTCCAGATGCTTTCCTTTCCAAGCTCCTTAGACTACGATGACCTGGATGACTGAGAACCTTCACAGACACCTTCTAGTTTTTATTTGTGTTTGGGATTATTGCCCTGTTGGAACACCCAGTTGTGGACAAGTTTCAAATGTCTAGTTATTCATTTTTTTAATAATTAGTATTATTATTATTTTGGCATTTTAGCCTTTATTGGATAGAGACGGTGTAGACAGACATGAAAGTGGGGAGAGAGAGGGAAAGAAATGCAGCAAAGGGCTCAGACTCAAACCCGGGCTGCTACATGGTCGCTTTCTAATATCCATGAAAACGAGACATCTCATGTTTGCATGCGGTGTGTTTGCGTTGACAGGTGGTTCGTGTCCTGCTGTCAGACTGGGATGCAGACCCTGAAGCTCGAGATTACAGCGGGAGGAGACCAATGCAGTACCTGTCCCCACCGCTGGCCGCTGACCTGCTGGAAGAAGGAGTGGTCACCTCACCGGGACCTGAGTCAGACAGTGAGAACAACAACAGCGGCAGCGGCGGAGGTCGGGGCTGGAGATTTGCCAAAGTCCTCCAAGGGAATCTGAACCCGCTCCGGCTGCTGAATTCACCAACAGAGGCATCAGAAGATGGAACGGGGAACGGGAAGAGTAAAGGGGGGATGCAGAGGAAGACGTCTTTGAGCCGACTGAATGCCCGGCTGCACAGAGGACGCCACAGAGCCCAGATCATCCACAGCGCCTCCTTCAGGGACACAGGAGAGGTGGGAAGAGGAGAGGAGCTACACAGCAGTCCTCTTCGAACGAGACCGCTGTCCAACCTGTTTGGATAAATCGACACCACTCTAAGCCAGCGACACAGAGCTGTACACCACCCCCAGGTGTTTTTATTTGTAGCATAGGTATCTTTTTTTATCTGACAGGTCAGATATTTTAGTGACAAAATCTAAAAGTGCAGAAACTAACACATTTTACAAAATTATGTTTTCTAAAATTCTAGTTTATTTTTGTTCCTGTTGCAGTTATTGTTTGTCACTGAGGGAAGGGTACAGTCACGTGACAGTTTATTTGCCTTGGCTACTGTGAATTCTTTCAAACTTGATTTTGTTCTGACTTTTTTTCCCCTTTATTTAATTTGGACAACTAACATCACAAACATAGTTTAAATATGTTACAGTACAGTTATGTTCATAAAAATGCAAAAGCAACAAGCAGTATTGTAGAAAGTTTTCACTTTGAAGCACTTTGATTTGTTTCCTCACCGCGTTTCTGTTTGCAGAGTAATATATTTACACACACTATTAGTCTGAAATTAGATGGTGCTGACGTTTTGGGTTTTTTTGTACATTCCTGTAATGTGAACAAATATTTAATTTTTTAAAGTGGCAGATTTTAATATTCAGACAGTTGAAATTGCAGATTTTTTTTATAACGAGCAACAGTGTACAGTCATCATGTTTGCACTTGTCACTTTTTAAAATTGGTAGTAGAAAAATCCATTTGGGTCCCAGATCTATCTATTTTTTTTTTAATTCTAGTTATAACATCAAAAGGGGATCAGATTTTTACCTGTTTAAATGCAAAGTTAACTGATATTCAAAAGGGGCTTGGTAAGTTATTTCTCCATTCATTTTTGTTTATTTAAAGTTGGAACCAAAAAGAGTTAGGTTCACTAATGGGGAGATATTGCTAAGAATTGTTTAATTGTTTCCAATTAGTTATACAAAAACACAGATTAGTAGAAGCACAGTCACCAACTTTATATACATTTTTCTACTGCCGATAACGTACCTCAAATTTTCTGAAGCTAATTCACTTGTTTCTACATTGCTTTGTGTGAGGTGTGTATGCAAATGTTCAGACACTGATATTTAGATATTGCTCTCTGAATGTCAGTTGCAGAGTTTTGCTTTGTTATCTGACATTTCATTTCTATATTTACTCCAAATATGTGACACAGGATTCATTGGTTCATAAGGGTAAAGGTTCAGGCAACCACGGTCATAGATATCCGCCGGAAACAGCGACATCATATGAAACTGAGACAAAGTCAATATTGTTCCCATATATTAGTCTGACTTTGCATGCACACTGTCATCTATTCATCAAGCTCTGTTTTCTCTAAGGACTCTGGCCAGAATGTGCCATAGGTTTAGCAGCGATTTCTCAAGTGGTTTCCCAAATATGTGAACCTTTCTTCCTCCCGAATTTCATGAATGTTCTGTTACTAATTTGTAGCATTTGTACTTTTATCACGGCGATTCGTGTCATTCTATGTCTTGACACTTTTGATGTAGAGATTTTATGTCATTTTCTCAGCGGCATGAGTAGAGGAAATGGAAATGCAGCACACTGTTGATTCTTATGTCTGTATAAAGAAAATGTGTTTCCATTGTAAAACGCTGTGAAGTGATTGTGTGGTGTGAAATCACTGTTGACGAGCCACTTTTGTTTTTGGATTAATGTCTTATCCATACATGTGAAATAAAGAAGTTTTGTTTTTATTTACATAAACTAAAGTTTTTAAGTTTGTCAACTACACTGTATCGTCCCATTGATGCAAGAGAATGACTGTATAAAGAAACGGCCTCGGTAATAATGAGAAGGTTTAAAATGTAAAGAGCAGCTGTGAATACTCATGTTAACGTTACCAGGATAGATTAAAAATACAATTGAAGCGAGTCGCTTCATCCGCCCTTCCTGCTGACACCAGCTGATTGTCCTTGCCTGTTGGTGCTGAATAATTGATGATCTGACGACCCCAGCTTTGCTCCGGCATTTACAGTATATCCACAACTTCCTGTCCACATAGCCCACCAGACAGATTAACATCCAGTTCTTATTTTGCACCTCTTGTTATGCAGACTGACCTAAAGTCAACACTGCTGTTGTTGGGATATAAACTCTATTTAATCCATTTTTGCAAATACTTGAAAATCTGATTTTATCATGTTTATCTTAATATACTTAAGAGAACCTAAGAGGACAGTCAGTTTTGTGTTTCCCTGTTATGCTATTTTTGTCATTGGTTAGAGAAAGTATAGAGTACAGAGGAATTTAATGCCCACAAGCTTTCATATGTGCGTGGGGGATACGATACATTTCTCAGTGCCTGAGCCTGAACAGATTACGACAGATCTGCCAATCCTCTTGTTGCTCTGATGTCCTGCTGGCACCCTGTCAGTTCTCTGCTTCGTGTTTCCCAGATCAAACCAACCATATAAAAGCTGGATTATATGTAAACAGTCACAGTGTATCACACAATATGTTTCTTATATAAAACTGAATGCTCTTAAGCCAGCTCCTTTGATGATTCTGTAATCTCTGGGGTTTCCCTGATCTAGAAGTCAAATAAAGATTTATAGAGGTCAGAAGCGATGTGCTTTTTTTCTGGCTATGTAGAATCCAGATTTGCCTTGGGCAGGCTTTCTACCAGATGACTGCTGATCAGGACAGGATAGAGAGCCTTTTTGACTGCAGTAACTGACCTACATGCACAGTGAAGGGAGTAATGCCTATTATGCAAATTCCTCTGCCATCCTTTCAGGGAAACTGTGCCAACTTTTTAGCCTGGGGCCTCCACTGTTGGACCAATCCAAGTCCAGTCCATTTTTATCTCACACAGTTACCACAGTGATGATGGCTTTCAGACAAACCCTAATGAGTCACAAACAGTGCCAAATAGATATCAAGTGAGTAACAAATGTGTACTGTCATCAGAGTGCTGTTTGTCTTGTGGCAGATATAAAAAAGTACAGTGAATCCAGCCTGAACCCTTTTATGGTACTGATCAACATTTTTTTTGCATAAACCATATCAGCGATTTGCTAATAAGTAATTAAATTGCGGGCGATTACAATCAATTGCCAACGTTTCTATATTAATTATGTGTGTTCTGAAATATATAGCAGGGTGTGTGTTCTTTCTCTTTTTAAATACTGCTAATATATATGTATCTATAAACCTTGGTTATTTACACCAAAAGTCTTAAATAATTTGTGAGCCCGGTAAAAAAAACAAGTGAAGACCTCACAGATGCATCTGACCCATCTACTGTTCCCTGAAGCCTTGTCAGAAAAGGTCTCAGTGGAAGGAAGCTGAGTACTCAAAGAGAAACCATGCATACTCTCTCTCTCTCTCTCTCTCTGTGAAAACTGCAAACTCCACACAGAACGGCTCCAGACTGGATTCAAACCCTTCTTGCTGTGAGCCGACAGCTCTAATCATCAGACCGCCATGTACCCCATGAACATACAAGGAGGAGAGGTACTGATGGTAGATAGGTTTAAATACCTGGTGTCAACCAATGAAATTCAATTCAATTCAATTCAATTTTATTTATATAGCGCCAAATCACAACAAAAGTCGCCTCAAGGCGCTTCAGAGAAAAACCCAACAATCATATG